TATTTAAACACGTTTACATCTTTTACTATAAATTATTGGAGTGAATAAAATTATTTTTTTGGATAATATGGACTTCATTAATAATTCTAAAATTCATAGCAAATTCAATTAATATGGATATTCAGCAAATCAATTCTTTTTTTGAAAAATGACTAAAAGCATAAATGTCTAAAATAGCAAAGACTTAGTTATATGATGTCTCATCAGTCAAAGTTATTTCTATAACCTAAGACTGATAATTTTGAGGATTTGTAATAAATCTATTGTTTCTTTATAAATTACTTTTATTCTAGATATTTTAAACAATCATATTGCATAATTTTATCTGGAAATTTAATATATTTTTAAACAAAAATAATTATTAAATATTGAAATATTAACTTAATAGAAATAGAAAATGTACCTTAGATGTATTTAAGCTGATCATTAAAATCAATAAATAACAGGCTTTTGTATAGATAGTACATGTCCAAATTAAAGACCTTATTGTAATTTTTGCTTGCCTGGCCATGTTCAACATATTCATAAGTTGACATCTTAAGAATTGATATCTGGATGGATTAAGGAAAGAATTCATATGGTTTAAAATGCTTAAAAGAATGTTTAAGAATTTAAAATTGCCCTTGATAGTCTAATGAATTTGTTCCTTCCTTATAATAACTTTAATATTTAATCATTAACAGAATTAGGATTATCACAAATTGATTAATTAATAAAAGGTTTATCTTAAATGGCAGATGGAGAAGATTAATTATTTAAACAACTTAATCAATCAATCTAATAAACTAAATCCATTGTTAATGAAATACTTAAAAAAATAAAGAATCAAACAAATGTAAAATAAAATGATAATTTATAAATTCTACAATCTAATATAGATAAATCAATTTTAGAATAACCTAAGCATATATTTATATAAACACCAAATCTGAACCCATTTTCCTTTGTCCTCATGAAATAATATTCAATCAAGTAAGATGAATGGAGTTATGCTACTGCTTTTAACAAAGATTAATCAATCTTGGTAGCTGGATGTAATAATATTATTAAAGTATTTCAAAATATATAAGGGAAATTTAATTAAATATAATTGTTAAGTGAACATACAAAAACTGTAAGTACTTTAAATTTCATGAAAAATACAAATAATTTTGTATCTGGAAGTGAAGATAGCTCAATTATAATATGGTAGTTGATTGGAAATAATTAATTTTAATGTTAATTAAAATTGAATGGACATTCAGATACTATATATTGTTTATAATTAAATAAAACTGATGATCTAATAATTTCAGGTAGCAGAGATAAAACAATAAAATTTTGGATGAAATAGGATTAATGGTTGTGTTAATAAACCATAATTGACCATATTAATGATGTCTATTCATTAAGCTTAAATGAAAAATAAAACAAATTGATATCCTGTTCATCTAATTCATATATATTAGTAATAGAATAGTAAGAGTTAAATAAAAAGTGGAGTGTTACATCAAAGATAAAAGTGGATTAAGTGGGATTTAGATTATGTTTTATTAATGATAATTAATTTACATTCTAACCTTATTTTAAAGAATATATTTATGTATTTGAAATGGATAGTAATACTAAATAGTATAAGAAGACTAAGGAAATTGCTGTAAAGTCTGGGTAAATTATTGATAAATGGTTATTTCCATAATAGTATTTAAAGGCTAAATGCCTCTTATTGAATAAGAATGGCAATTTTATTAATATAATGAGGAAGAAAGAAAATGGTGACTTTATTGTTTAATAATCTATTGAATTTAAAACTTAGGATATTTATGGATAATTAAGTGATGATGGAGAGTATTTAATCACTTGGGATTCTGGATCAAAGGAGATACAAATAAGAAAGTATAGAGAATTGTGAGTATGATAGTTTATAATATGTAAGAATAGTTAATTTTATGATTATTGAATTAAGAATAAATCTTATTAAATTAAAAAACTTAAGAGTATTAAAAGTAAATTATAGATTCAATTTTGAGTTTTATCAATTATTTTGAAATCCATTTAATGATTAAATAAGACAAGTGTGATTGTTTTAATCTTAAAGAAGAAAAATTTGTTAATTGGATAAATTTTTTTTTAGAGATATTTGCGATTTATCATAGTGAAGAGATAGAGGAGTTTATTGGTGAACTCTTATATGTAATTTAAAAGGATTTTAGACAAAATGATTCAGGTGTAAAATTAAGAATAATTTTGAGTAAGTTTTAGATCATTTGAATAAAATTAATTTCCTGGGTTAAATTCAAACTATATTACTACCATAAATAAAAATGGTGCATTAAATCTAATAAGAATCAAATTATATCAAGATGATTAACAAAATTTGATGAAATTGTTTTAATATTTTTCAAATAATTTATCAAATTTATATTAACAAAATTCTTATGAATTATGAAATGAATTAGGTCCTTTAAATACTCCAGGAATTAATCATAATGGTCTTTTTCTAAAAAAACAAGTTACTCAATTAATTCTAATTATATTCATTTTCAAGATTTTAAATAATTCTTTGCATCTCCATAGATCACTTAACAAAACTGTATGATTAAAATTTATAATCACTATCATCAAGTAATTTAGGGAATCAAATTAAGAATAGTATTACATATATTTTTCTGTTTTATTATAAATAAATCCCTTTCTAGAATCAAATTAAACTTAAAAGAATTATCGCACTATATAAGTATTTTATAATAATTTTACAAGTAAATTATAATGATAGTCAGAAAACTAAGCTGTTAGTTGAAAATATAATTTGATTTTGAAATCTGTTGATTCAGAATCTGAAATTGTATCTAAGGACTAAATGACTTTAAAGGGGTTGGGTTTGGGTTTGGGTTTGGGTTTGGGTTTGGGTTTGGGGTTGGGTTTGGGTTTGGCTTTGGGGTTGGGTTTGGGGTTGGGGTTGGGGTTGGGGTTGGGGTTGGGGTTGGGGTTGGGGTTGGGG